AATGGTCAAAGCCTTCTTTTCAAGATGTGCCTTGGCTGGAAAGTTTAAATTACTTAAGCTCATTTCCGCCTTAATATTCTGCACATTTTTAAATATCTTTCTGTTCAATATTTTGTTCTTTCTTTAACTACAAAACTGCATGACAGCCATAGAAAGTAGCCAGCAATGCTCATAACTGAATGTTTTACTCTTTGAAATGCCCTCTATCAAAGAGAGTCCATCATCTTTAAATTCAACTTTACTCACCCTTTTTTAAGACATTGGCAGACTGAAGGCAGATTCTTGGCCAAAATATCACACAGTTGACTCCTAGTCCACTTCCTCATAAACTGGGTCTCTTCTAGGTACATTTGTTTTAGCAATCTTTTCTTCCAAGCTCCCACCAGAATAGCCAAGTATACTTGGGTTCTAGCATGCAAAGGGTTTTAAACTGTCAGAATCTTTCACATCTCTTTCATGAAATAGTCATAGAGTCCTAAACTCCTCATGGTCAGGCTTATCAAAGCAAAAATCCCACTGCTGGTACCAATTTTATATGTCACTTATTTTCTTCTGCCATTGTGATAAAATACCAGACAAACTCAACTTAAGGGAGAAAGGGTTTATTTTGACCAACACTGTATGGCCCGTAATAGCAGACATGTGAGTTCATATTACATCTGTAGTTAAGAAGTAAACTGACAAGTTGAACTCAGCTAGGTTTTGCTGTTGTTGTTGGGTTGGGGTTTTATTTTAATTTTTGGGCTTTTTGTGTTATTGTTGGTTTTTTGTTTTGTTTTGTCTTTCTGCTAGGACCCAAGACCTGGGAATGGTGATTCCCAGCTTCAAGGTGGGCCCTCCAATCACAGCTAACATGATCCCTCACAGACATGGCCAGAAACCTAACCTAATCAATATAATCCTTCATAGTCAGGCCCAGAACTTGCCTCTTAAGTGATTATAAATCTTGTCAAGTTGGTAATCAATATTATCAATCCCATCATCTCTGATTGCATTTACTTATCTTTAAAATGATGAGTGTAGCCCTCTCACAGAGCTGTATGGTAATTCAGTGAGTTAATACCTATAATTCAGTACGATGATTGGAATATATTGGCCATATATGAATATAAGTTATTATAAATTATCTCCAGGACACTCAATGAGGCCAAACTTCCAACTGAGGACCTCTGTGGCCCCAATTTTTCAAGGAGCAATAGTTTAGTTGCTCAGATACAAGCAGTTTCTCAGGATCTCAGATCAAATGTTATGGACCAGAGTGAAATAACAGTAAGTTTGGAAAGCCAGTTTAACTTCTAATGTAGCATCTTTCTTTCCATTCATGACATGAGCTCAATGAAACACACATGCTTTCTCTCTCTGCCTCTGTTTTTGTCTCTCTGTCTCTGTCTCCCTCTGAGTGTGTATCTCTCACTGTCTCTGTCTCTCTCTCATACATGCAGGAAAGAGAAGAGTGAAGGAGAGATAGAGGTAGACAGACATATAGACAGGGCTAGAAAGATATGGAGAAGGGTAAAGATGGATAGGGAGAGGGAGGGAGGAAAGGATTATATAAGAAGCCTTTTGAGACAAGGTCTCATTAAGGAGTAATAGTTAGTTACCTAAGAAGTTACTCAGGAGACCAAGTTGGCTCAGTCTTGTGGCAATTTTCCTCTTTTTCCTCCTAGTGCTGGGATTTCAGGCATGTAGTACTATACCTGTGTCTCCAGAGGAGAAAAATATGTTTCACTATTGAAAAATGCAGCTCAAGTTCAAATCGTTTTACAAACATTGGATGCCATGAAGTAGAAAGACAGGCTTCAAGAAATCATGAGTTTTCATTTTCATTGGACTGAAAATGTACAATGTAAAAAAAAAATGTAGTGTCACTGAGCTGATCCTATGGATTGTCTCTGACTTCTGAGAGCAAAGATGCTTGTTAAATTTCCTACCATAGAAGATAGAGCTATTTTTTTTCCTATGAGATGAATGAGATAACCTTCCTTCCACTTATACCTAATGCTAGAAATATGAAGGAGCTGTTAAGAGAGGCTGAAGAAATCACCAAGATGGTATTGTTGTAGGGAAGCCCCTGTGTCAGTGACTACATTCTATAATTTTGACTTCAACAGTGTTTGTCCTCACTACATTTTACTTTACATTCAGTAAAGTGATGTTACATTTAGGGCTTATCATCACACTAGGAACATCTTTTTACTTGACAATTTGTTGTGTTGCTAATGGAGAAAGTTGAATTACTCACAGAGTGGTACCAGAATAGTTCAGAGGATCCGCTGTAAAGTATATGCAGTTTAACCTTCTTTAAAGCTAAGTTTGAAGAATCACCACCAACAGAAAAACTCTGTAATAATAGTACATAGTTGGCCCTCCCATTCCAGCAGAATCAGATTGTTATTTCCTTGTAGTTTACTTAAATTACCTTAAACATATGTATTCAAAACCATAGGCATTCACATTTTAAGCCACTCTAAATTTGGCACTCATATTTCTTGCTCCTGGCAAGTGTCCCTTTACTCCTCTACCTTCTCTGCAAAGGAGGACCATATCTTGTGGGTTTGAAACTTGACTACAGAAAAGTTAGGTGACTCCAACGTCAGAGACCATGTGAGCACTCTCTCCTATGTTCCAGCTATATCAAAGTCTTCCCACTGTTGTCCCACAAGCAAACATCTATTAGAGATAACTACACTGTCCCTAGAGACATCATATTGTCACTGACCTTTATGAATAAGCTTAAATCATCAGTAGGTCTAATTGAAGCTGAGTATAATGGCTTACTCAACACTGAATAACACTGACTATTGGCAAGAGGAAAATATATTCCACTGAAGAAGAACATTCTAGCTGAATTCCAGTCACTTATTTTTGATTGCTTAGTAGTCCTGTGATTCAGTCCGATGTACTTAGCATATAGACTTCTAAATGAAAATCAATTATATACACACACACATACGTACACACACACACACACATACACATACACACACAGACTCATACATACACACACACACACTGATACATTCAGACATACAGAGACACATACATATAAACACAAGCACGCGAATACACACACACACACACACACCCATCACCATTACCTTGTAAACTTAAAAGTGTGACACACTTCAGAACCAGTTGCACTGGTGTATTCGTCAGTGGTCAGGACTCTGTGCAGCAAGAGAATTTCGGCCTCAGGGCCCTGATTGTGAGCTCACCTGAAAAACAAAACCCTCAAAACATATGCTTTGGTTTGTGGTTTGCTTTTATCTACCTGAAGTGATGGATACAGGGTAAAATCATGCATGGAATTGTGGCGGCATCGATTTAGGTGCATGCCAGCGTTATGTGTTGTAATACAGAAGTCAAGTTTTAATGTAAATCCACAGTACATGAGAACATGTGCCAGTGACACTCCACATTTGTTGAGTGACAAGAAGCTTAAGGAGCTTTACCACACATACTCAGTAGGCAGGTTAATGTGTCCTAATTACATCAGAAAGCCCAAGGGAAAAGCACAAATGCACTTGAAACAACACCTTGCTCACTTGTAAAGATGAAAGAACACACAATGGCTTATTATTTATTCAGGTATTTTAAGTGAATAAAGGAAACCTCACCTTCAAATGAAGACTGTGTTTATCACATTACACAGTCACTGAGTGGTGGTTCTGCCTTTTGTTATGTAAATGATTGTAGAGTACTATTTTAAATATATGTTGACATGTAATACAGAAAGTGTTTAGAATTCGACAATATATTTGTGAATACTGGAGATCAAGTTCAGATTTAAAACAGTACAAGTTGATTATTTGGTTGACAACTGATGAAGTATATTGAGGGGAAGGAAGGAGGAAGGGAGGGAGGGAGGGAGGGAGGGAGGGAATATGAAGGAAAGTTACAAGGAAGGGTAGAATCACTGTACATCATTTAGTACAGCATATTCAGAGCCTGTATGCTCAGACTTAAGGTAAGTATGAGTGTTAAAAAAAAAACCAGATTTATTGAATGGACATAGCAGGTTGTGTTCCCTGGAGGAAGGTTCTTCTATTAGCTCATCCCGGCAGTAGCCAGGGCTTTCCTCCACAGGCCAAGTGTCTGTTCTGTGTTTTTCATGGTAACTGGAATGTATTTTCACTGCTTATGGCTCAACCATCAGTTCTTGTCTTGTGTCTTTCTCAAGCATACAAAACTGAGAAGATGATTAATTGACCTTCTCAAGCTAATAGGACCACTGAAGGATGTCTTGAGCACTTAGTGTTCCTATCAAATATTGATATGTAAAATATTAACTTACTTTTTGTCGAATACTGTGTGCCACTATGGTTTCATGTGTTTCTAAGATCCACCATTGGTATACACATTTTAACTCTCGATAAAAGTGTCCCATGGCTTACCCACTGATAATGAGATAGTCACATCTAAGAATGTGAGATTAATAGAGAAGAAGATGGACCGATAAGAACAGCTTTGTAGTTTCTGTGTGATTATTTTAATATGTATTACTTTCAATGACTATTTTTACTGATGATCACATATAATGTATTTTCCATTTTTCATTCTTCTACAAGAATAAGAAAGAATTTTCCCTTTCTTAAAAAAAAAATCAGGTGTGAATTGGGGTTGAGTGGTGGTGGGGAATGGGATAGAGAAGCCCTCATTGTGTGTTGTCAGAAGGTATTTAATTTGGTGTGAGTATGTGATTTTGGGGTACCCAATATTCCTCAATATTTACACTCAGTATTATTATCTGGGCTAAAACCATATTAAACACTGAGAATGGAGAATTGATGAAAATGACAGTCAAGGGCGATTCATTGATCGTTATCTGCTTGTCTGATTTTATGTCCTGCCTATAATGGAGACATTCATTGGGGGGTGGGGAATGGTCAGGTGGAGAGGGGAAGAACACCAGAACGAAAGACACTAAACATGTAATTTTTCCCTTTTCTTTTGAACTCTGCGCAGCACTTTTTCCTCACATGCCTCTGTTTTTCTTTTAGTGGCAGAGCATTTCTATAACACTGGTTGAGAAAGTTCAGATGATCGCTGTAATCCTAGGATCCCTGTTCTTAATAGCGAGTGTGACTTGGCTCCTCTGGTCAGCCTTCAGCCCCTATGCAGTGTGGCAGAGGAAGGACATCCTTTTTCAAATCTGCTATGGAATGTATGGTTTTATGGATCTAGTGTGCATAGGTAAGACCACAGTGTTAAATATTCACCAACTGTCAGTAATGCATCTCTTTCAGCCTCTATCTTCACCAGTCGCGTCTAATGTGTGTAGAATGTTGCTGTACACATTATCTTTACTTCTGGTTAATTACTGGGGCAATGAAGAGGAAGTGGCCACAACTTGGCTGCTTCTGGGTGAAGTTTGAAAAGAAAAAAAAAAACCAGGTCAGAGGTCATTTAATGTGGCATATTTTGCAGCCAAAAAGATGAGGTGGTTTTAAAAATTACTTGGGGTGAGCAATGTTAGGAATGTCACTTGCCTATGGGGCAAGAACAAATCAGTTCCCTTTCCAAGGCTAAGGAAGCATGGGCCAATGCCAACAGCAATATCCTGGGTTTGCAGAGATGACTGTGCCCTAAAAAACCTGCCTCATAGTGGGAGCTCAGATTCTTTCGGGAACGTAAATGGCCCCTTGTAAAGTTGGGAGCATGGGACAATTTTCTTCGCTTACTTTTGTCTCAATGTGCTTACTTTCCCCAAATGTAGCTAAAATAGACTTCACAGGAAAAGTCATACTCATGATTCACTTGACTGGTCAACACAACATGCATCACTCAATGGTGTGTATGTGTGAAGTGTTCTTGCAGGCGCTGTGATGGTGACAGTTAATGGGTTGTTATAAAAGCACGTGGTGAAGGGCACCCAGGGGAATTTGCCTGCCCTAAAAGATTGCTGGGGTGTAAGACGAACCAAAGGGGAAGTCAGCCATGATTTACAGCAATAGTAGCATCCTGTTACCTGCTTAGATATGCCCATCTCCGGGCTCATCCAAGACCTGCTGAGTCTTGAGAGGTAGGGTTGGAGTCAGTATTGTCCATATTTTTCTGCACTGGTGATGAACACTGAAGCTGGATGGAGAGCCGATGGACAAAAGCAGCATGTGTGATCAGATGACTTGGTTTCTGATCCTAGCCTCGGCTTGAGGAGATCTGCTTCATCCCTCCATCTTGTCTTTCCTCCCATGGCAATGGGCCAATAATCTGGACCATCCAATCCAAACAAAAGCAACTGTGATTATGGAAGAGTCCTACTATTTGTTCGCAATGGTATATTGGATATGTTATGCAAGTCAGAAACACCAAAGTGTTGCTAAGTCACTTGAATTGATGTTTGTACATATGAGAGTCTTAATTTAACTAGAAATTTCCATATCCCCAGTTGTTTTATGAAAGGAACTTTACACACATTTAAAATATAGTCATCCCAGCTTTCCTTCCTTTCTTTTTCTCTTGTCACGGATACAAGGCTAACAAGGAAGAACATGATGAAATGTCAGGCCTAAAATGAGAAATGAAGGATTTCTCCTTCATCTGTTGTGAAGGTTGCTAATCTAAGTACAGCTTGCCTGGGTAATTAGACTGATCACACATGTGAGCACTCTTACAGTAACCGCGCAGATGGAGATTTAATGTCTGGGTCCTTGCTGTAAATAAAGAGGAACCATGAAATCATTCCCCACATGAAATTCTCAAGCATCTCAGAGAATGTGTTTATTCTGCAATGTCTTTTATAAAAATTGGTATACTTTTGAAATTACAAGGGAAGTGCTTCCTTAGCCTGGAGGAAAGGATTTTGTAAGTCTTTACCATAAGTAAAGGATAAATTCAGGAGAAGATAGATCTATTTACTTGTTAATATGAGTGTTATATGTATACCAATAGCTGAAGTTTTGTATTTTTGTGTGCCAACTAAAATAAAGAAGAAAGTGAAATACAGCAACAAACACTGTAACTTGCTTGGCTCAAAATTTAACTTGTAAGATCAGGTTGTCTTTCTTTACCTCTTTGTAAAACTAAGAAGGATCAGATGCCTCCTAAGTAGAAAAGCATCTCGACAAGCTTTGCAGTGTACATGCGTTGCTAAGTTATAACATATTACTATCAGCATTTTAATTAAGACTACGAGATCGTTGCTTCAAGAACACAGGCATGTGAACTAGTGATCTTTGGGAAATATGTGCTATATTTGGGCTCCTCTGTTGAAATTTGAATATTCTCTCGTTTTATAAAATCTAAATCTTTTAGAAACAAAAATACTTGCCGTATTTTCTAGAGACATTTTAGAGCGTGAGTTTGTGTCTGTGTTTTAAATATTGAAAACAGGCTCTGTTGACTTTTGGTTCTTCAGTCCGCACTCTCCTCATTCAGTGATCTATTTGCAGAGTTAGAAAAACATCAATCCAGATTAAACAGCATTTCCGCTGGTAACCTTATTAATTAGCATATTTTAGATCTGTGAAAATGTCAGGTTCTTTTACCCCAAGAAATCGAGAAAGCAACATAGTAAGGGATGCATTAGCCAACTGGAGTACTGCCAGGATCAGCACCCGCCAACGTTGCAAATTAAATTAAATGTCTCCTAATTAAAAGTGAATGCTAACAAAAATCACACCTTAGAAACAATTGACTAGGAGATGAAGACTCTGCGTTAAACTAGAAAGAATTTTTTGCAATTTTTTGGAATATTTACAATTATGAGTTGAGTTTGCTCAACCCAATTTTTGGACGTGTTCTTTGTCAAACACAGTGGCAGGTGCTAAGACCACAAGTGAGATCAGTTGTTTTTCTGTCTTCAGGCAGGCCAGGGCCTCAAGTGGATAAGGAGTTCTTCAGAACCAAAATGTTGCCATCTTCTGAAGCCCTAATAATCAGTCAACCAAGCAAATTAAATGTTGGAACAGTGCGTAGGTGATCTTGTACTCATGCTTGTTAGGAACTGTCTCCAAAGACTGTAAAGCCAGAGCTTTTTAAAGAGGCCACCACAACCTCACACAGAAAATACCTCTGTAAGGACATCTTATCTCCTTACCTGTTTGACCTTGAACTGGTGTCTCCCTTGATACCCATCCTTGAGAGTAGTTGATTTTTTTTAACAGCCATGGCCAAAGTTTGTAATTTCAATGTATTTTATCCACCTTGCTTCATTTTTCCTTTAAAAAGTTTTGCTGGCCCCCATTTCTCTGAACACACACCCTTGCCATTCAAAACTTAATTCCTTGGAGATTTCCTGTCACCATTTGTTACTTAGTTTGACAGAGAGCATAAGTGTGTAAACATGCAGTTGGAAATATAGTGGGATGTGATGTCATGGGTAGGCAAACAGAAGTTCAGTGGTGCAGGGAGTGGTCCCTGCTTGGGCACTACTTGGAGGGGAAGTCTCAAGGAAATTTCATGGAGGAAGTGACAGGCAAGCAACTTAATGGCTGATGCCTGGGGAGAGCAGGGATGCAGCCTTCCCAGTACTGGAGGAGGCCTCTTCATTTCTCCACAGAGAGGGCTTAGAAACAATTGGAAGGAATTTTATAAGCTTTCCAAACTTGATTGTTTTTGAAAGAAGAAAGAACAGATTGACAGATTGAGTGGAATGTTCTTTTAAAAATAATCCAGAAAAATACATGATTCTTCTAGGGAAAAAAATATAAAATTCAGCTATTTTATGAAAGTCTTACAAAACCAAATCACTGTAGAGACTTCCTTTATGTCATAAGAATGGACATCTCTTCTCAACATTTTAATGCGTATCCAGATCAGTTTGTTCTTATAGACACTCTGAGGAATGTCATTTTTATGCTCTAAGGAGTACAGGAAATAGGGCTTTCCATCCAACAATGTGATCTCCAACCCTTTGCCTGTCTATTCTACCATTTACTTCACCTTCCATCTGCTGATGGTGACATAAGCCATTCAATGTCACTTTTGCCATGAGGGGTAATGCTGCAGGACACACCTGTTTTAACTGTTTCTTCAGACAGGTTTCCGAGATTGGAGGGTCTGAATAGAGTAGTAGGCATATGTATTAGATTTTTAGAAGACCCCTTTCTCTAATCCACTATACAGACTTGACCATTTACAACCCACCAAAGAAAAGTTCTAGCTCTCCCATACCTTGCCTGCTATCACCCCATTTTTTTTCAAATCAATTCTATAATTAGATCAGTATGGCCATCTTACCTAAGAAAATAAGCCTGACCACCTGGGGTCATGCCAGCTGGTGGCTGTCTTCCCTACAGTCTTGAAGAGCAGTGATGCAGTATACAGAGACACAAAGTGAGTTTCCTGTGACTTCCTTTCATGTTTTGTCTCTGAGGTGAAGTTCAGCAAGGGCGATGGAGAGTGGTACCTACTGATGCTTACACACTCTGGATTCCCAGAATGCTTAGATGCTCTGTGGTCAGCTGCTTCTGCTGTTTGACACCTTCAGTTTTTGTTTCTGTAAAAAATCTTCTGGCTGAAAGTAGTTGAAGAAAACAGCCTACCTTTCTCACTTGACTAAGCAGTAAACACACTCATCAGTGGTTTTTCTTCTCCCAGTTCATTTCTGAATTTAAAGCACAAGATCAGAGAATGAAGGGGTGAAAATTAGCACCCTCATGCACCCTGGTACGCATACTCAGATGTACTTACCAGGAACTAAGGATCTCTCTCAGGGTTCTTTTGCAATAATGACATAAGTTTACAACCACTCCACCCTGAATGCAACCAATCTCATCTGAAATAATGACACGTTTAATATAGCTCTTTCCTCTGTACTGCTTTTGAATGCTTCCAAATTTAGGGAATTCTAAAAAGTAAAGCAGGATATGCTAGAATGACGATCAGATCAAAATATTTTCTTCTTACCCTACCAGTTACAGCCAACACTGAAGCATATGCTCCTTCAGCAGGAGGCTCATATTACCGCAGCTAAATTTTTATTCTCCTATATTTTCAATCACAACAGTTATTTAAATTCAAACAAGTCTTATAGTCATGAGGATCGCTATATTGAAATGTACTTCTCATAGTCGAATAATTATCGGGCTGAAGTTTCTTGGGCACATAAACTTCTCCAAGTTAGAGTCACCAATGTATTCACACTTCACTATAGAGCATCAAAATGATAAATACAATTCAATGTTTGATTGACTGTATTAAACATACATTTACATTTTAAAGAGCCAAGATAATCCTTTTGTCTGGCCTTG